TGTCCTTGCGAAGCAATGTTTCATAGGTTTTGTGCTTACGACTCATCACTAAACGTACGAGCAGTGAACTGTCCGAATACACATTCACTAACAGTAGCATTGCACGGTAGTGCAATTAAGTTGATGTCTTTTTCTTCAAAAGTCTAAATTTTTCCAAGACTAAGATTACGCTACAAGAATTATTCACTCTCATTAAATTTCAAATGTAAAAATGTACATTCTTACATCCAATCAAAGCACTTGATGCTATTTCGATTTCAACTAATCACATTACAAATACGAACAGTTTTCGACCAATTACAAAATTATTAAAGGTGACAAAATGTTTGTTCATTATCACTTGAGCACACACTTGAAAAACAAGTACACCAATCACCTATCCTTACATTTTTTTTCACACACTACAACTTCAACGAAATGGGTGGTAGGGAACCATAATTGCCGTCCATTTAATGTCGACCAACTGATTACATAGGATGTTTCACACAATTTTAGCCAAGATAATGCATAAGCAATAAACTGTGTGGTTATAAAACAACAAAGGGCCAATTAGAAACTTAATAATGGACGACTTTATGAATATTTATGTCTGAAATCCACCCCCACTCAAAGTTAGTAAAAATTTTCCAAGTGCATCAGAATCTCCTCTTCCTCAAATAACTGAAACCTTCAGATCTGGCTTAGATAAGTCAAAATTATCCGTACAATTTCTCTCTCTTTTTTTCTCTCTACAATCAATGTACCTTCTGGTCTTCCAAAGCCGTCTCTCCCAGTCGCTTAACCTTTATCTTTAAGGTTATATTTTTATTTCCATGGTTTTTCTATAATCTTTTTTTTTCTAAACTGATGTTGGACAAACGCGTTCTAACAATTAACAACCTCTATAGAACTTCTGTTACTTTTCACACTTAGCAACTACAACTTAAATTTGTTAATTTATGATCTTAGTTATTTTGCTCGTTTATTACTAATTCCCGATAAACATTGTTACGCTTACCAAATATGCAATAAAAGTTTTAGTTTTTGTTTACATTCACACAACTTTGAAAATTTTCACACAGTTTCTACCATTTATAAGCTTGATTACATATAGAACAAACATCGTAGCAGAACAACATGTATTCAGTTATTTCGTGGATTCCACTCGGCTGTTTACCACTGATAACCATAGTTTTGATCTTACTAGCTTGTTTACTTACGCCTGTTACTCCCAATGCAGCATAGGCCGATAGTATTGATCAGTAAAACAAAATAAGTTTATATACTTTATATCGGCAAATGTCCTAAATAAATTAGATGAACATGTAGAGACAGAATATTGACGAGGATACACATTACTGTTTGTTCTATGTTTGACACGGAGATAACTATTAGGATCCGACTCAGTAGACCGCCTATGACTACTCCATCAAACTGACTCTATACGATATTGTTGAGTTGAAACTGAACGTCTATGGTGCATAACAGTGGAAGTTCCTTGAATTGGCCTTTCGGTAACGGAAGTATTTCAGAATGGTGACAATTTGTAGTGTTTCTTTTAGGTGGTTGCTGTAATAACGATGATATATCAGATAATACCATGAAACGGTCAAAGCTGTTAAAATTCTCTAGCATCTGAGTAAACTTGGAAGCGTCTTTCAAACTATGAACACATGATTTAAACCGAATGGGTTCTAATTGATCCACTAAACATCCTACGAGTTTGAGAGATGAATAATTGATCATTGATAGGATATTCCTGACAGAAGACTCGGGTTTGTGTAGTTATGGTAGTCCATTTAAGTACGTTAATCCGTACCCTCGAGATCTCGAGTCATCATATGTTTGATTATTAATTCAATTCCTCTCCTGAAGATCTTTAAAACACTTTAATGCTTCTCTCTATAGCTTTAGTCGTATCATTATCCGAGTTATCAAAAGGGAATCTAACAAAATAATCTACAACCATTGAGAATGAAATCACCTTAACATTTTTCTTCGATCGACCATTTTATTCTTGATATATGTTTCAAAGGACGGTTCATACTTCCCTCAGTAAACTGTCAACAAGGCTGTCTTTGAATCCGACCAAACGTTTAACACTCAGTATTACTTCATTTTCATCATCTTTACTGTCAGTAAAAAAACCAATAACTATAAGTCTTAACTTCAAAGGTGATGAGGCTGCAAACACAATCAACAGAGACTGAATACTGCTCTAGCCAGAACTTATCTGGCGGCCAAACTTCAAATTCTGTATAAGACAACATGCTCAATAACTCAATCAAAGGTTGATAAGCATCCTTTTCATGTTACCGCCAATTGTATTTATGAATTTACGTGTACCTGCCAAAGCAGCTACATTGGCCGGACAGAAAGGAGGGCATATCTCAGATTTCTTTTGAACATGTTCCAAAAAGCCTCAGTACAAGAGAAAGAAAGACTCTAAATAGTGCAGTCACCAAACATCTTAATACAGGACATCAGGTCGATACTCTACAATCATTCAAGGTGATTAGTAAACAGCCAAACTCCAGTCTTCTGAAGTTTGCTAAAGCAGTTGCTACCAGGTGCCAAAAGCCTGATTTATGTGTTCAAAAGGAGATGGTTATTGATCTTTCCTTGCCTTGGTGATTAATATTCCTTCGTTGTATCTTAATATTTTTTTCTTTTCTTTAAACACTTTCTTGCATTTATCACACCATTCAGTTTTATTCCAACTATCTAATTTTATCAACTGAACTCTACTCATTTTATTCCTATTAATGTTTACTTGTTTCTAGCCGTTTGAACTGTTGTCACAATGTTCTTCCATCACTGAAGACAATGGTGTACGGTAGCGCAACTTCGTGGATTGGTTGAAGTTAGACATTAACACCGTTGGACGCCGGCTCAGTGGTCTAATTGTTAAGTGCTCGCGCGCGAAGCCAGTAGGTCCTGGGTTCGCACCCCGGGTGGTGCGGGTTCGTGGATGCGCACTGCTGAGGAGTCCCATACCAGGACGAAACGGCCGTCCAGTGCTTCAAGGTTTTCAATGGTGGTCTAGCTTCAACTGACTCATGGTTTCAATCTGTGAAAACATAAGGTATATATTTATAACATTCAGTCTATTAAATTTATTTACACCGTTACTATACGAATATATCTTCAAAATAACTTCCAATCAAACTCTTCCATGTAAGTAATTTAAACCCATTATGTAATTATGATTCTTAAATATCACAGGTTGTAAGCAGCTGACGAGAATCAACGAAATAAAAATGAATTCATGCTATTCTGCTAGAATGTTTGTTCTTGCTCTTTTCAAAATGATAAAGGGAACTATGTGTATTAAATTTTATCGTACATAACATGTTCAGTATTTCTCAGGACTTGGCTTCCACAGACACTTGGAAGGATTAGTTGTGAATATGTTCCATAGTTATTTATTCATACACGGTGTTCTTGCAATAACGGAATCGTTTGCGTTATTTGGATTGATAATAAAAACTTCATTAGTTTACGTAACTGTTTGAGGGGATTATAGAGATGGTTAGTGCAATTATTACTGTGAATACGTATGGCATTATTCAGATATTTCATAGTTTCATTTAATCTCTAAAATCATTGATATTCAATATAATACGCTGATTAAGTCGATATTGAATTTGCCTTTCTCAGAATTTCTGTATTACATTGATCATCATTCATGAAATACACCTAGTCCCCATGAATCTCATCCTGTTTACTCTCACTCAACTGAACTGCCACAATTACAGATATCCAAAATAATTGTTACGTACATTCACAGCTTGTGTTCTTCAACGTTATTTTGGTCAATCGACTGTCTTTATTATTTTGAAGTATGTCCTCATGATATTGAATGAACAGTTACCTGTCATAATTGAGGAAATACTGTTGGACATACTGAGTATGCAACCACTCATAATGTTCATGTCATCTCTGTATGACCATGATCTGATTATGTGAATGTAAGTGTGACTATAACAGGTGTGAATTAGTGATGTTGACAGATGTGAGTAGCATGTATTATCAAACGAAAGTGAAATACCTGAAACAGGAGATTGAGAAGATCAAACAGAAGGGGGTGTAAACAGAGAATGATTAGTGTGGAACCTGAAGCACAATGAATTCTGAGACGATTGAATGGCATTTGCAGAAGGAACAGTGAAGTTTGAGACAATGAATTGACATTTTGCAAATGCAGTATATACCTAATGGTAATCAGATATTTTCAAAAGATTTTCTGTAATTTTCTTCTCAAATACACTTGTGTTCTCGTTCACTACATCACAATTACCACTAACAAATGCATAAACATACATCAAACCAAATTTTAACTACTTATAATGACAAGTTGTATACTTTTGAATTTGATAATAAAATCAAGCCGAACCATAGTGACAATGATAATGCTGATGAAGTGATTCATTAGTGCTTCTGAATTAAGTAAGTTAACTTTGTGTTGTGCATGAATTTCTATTAGAAATACACAGTACAATGAATAAATTAATTCAGACGAATCCCAATTAATTTTACTAATTCACTTGATATTTTGTGAAAATTCACATTGAAAGTGAAAGATACATTGACTCACATTTATTACCAGTTCATACAGCATACACAATATCATCATCTCAGTGAACAATATTGAAATGTTATTGTCAAGTGAATCTTGGACTAAAGTATTCATCCTGTGCAATTGTAGTTTTGTAGTAAGTATCATTACATGTGTTCTCCTCATATGGTGGTTCATTTCATCTTACTTAAACAATCCAGGTATTCGGTGTTGTTCTGTTAGCACTCGGAATTCAACCACAAATCACATTAAATCAATTCAGAACTATACTACAAAATGCGAAACCAGAGATCTTCCTGGTTGTCAGTATCTCAGGAGGTCTCGGTGTACTAGGATCATTTGTTGGCATTTATGGACACTCGAAGAAACAGAAAGTGATCATATATATGGTAAGTGATATGTGCAATATGGACAAATGTATTTCACTCATATCTCTGTTTAGAACATTGTCGTTTTGTTTATCGTGACTTGTATGTGGATCGGTATGGCATTTAAAGTAGCTTTAACGGAAGACAGGGTTTGTTTGATATAAAATGAACCTAATGTATCGTGACACACTGATCTTCATATCATTATAGTTCCCTCAGTTAGCTGACAGCTCACTAAGTTCTACTGTTAAAGAATATGATAAACGAGTTTATTATCGAATGGAGTTTGATCAATTACAAAAGAGTGTAATTTGTAATCAAATCGAAGACTCTGATGATCTGTTGTCTATAGTTTTTCTGCTGTGGAGCGTCATCGTACAAAGACTATCCAATTATTGAAAGAGTGCTAAAAACACCTGTTTCATGTATGTACAGTAAACTCGAATTTCCCAGAGTAAGTGAATATTTCGCAAATTTAAACCAATTAACTTAATCATTTGTGAATTGCAGTATGTGAATTAAGAATCGCTGTTTGTTATACAAAATCAAGTATTATCGTTAATGTTGGGGCTGACTAATATGAATCACTTCATAAGTGAAATGAAATTGTGCAATAAATAATTTCAGACGAGGTTTTGTTGAGATTTTAGTAATCTCAATAGTGGATTGGTTAGACATTAACACCGTTGAATGCCGGCCGGCTCAGATGTCTATTGATTAAGCGCTCGCTCGCGAGATTGATAGGTCCTGGGTTGAAAATATTACTTTTGAAATTGAAGAATATTTGAGAGAACAATTGCTTACAATAACTTCATCATCAGACTCTACAGTTATAAGTTCATGATTATAATATTTTACAAAGGCCAAAATAAGGCATATATTAATCAGTTTGACAATGTTATTACTTTTGGATGCATTGCTCTGGCTTTTCGATCCGAATAGCAATTGCTTCAGCCGTCTGTAGGATTCTCAGTCTGACGGAATTATGTAAACTACTGTTAACACGATATATTATCGCGAAAGATTGCTTTATGTTGGCTCTATGTCTCGTCTGGACTAGATGGTCTAAAATGGAGCTGTTAACCGTTTTGACTACACCTTTGCTTAAGCACACGTGGAGATGCTCACGAGGCCGAATGTACAAATTTTTAGAACATCTGACAATATAAATTGCTCCACAGGAGCAGTTGAATTGATGGATACAGAAAGAGGTTGCTAATCTAGGCAAATTATCTTTCAATCTCGGAGTGATTGTTGGACGTGTGGGAAACATTACTTGTAGTTTACCTGAATTAAAAGTCTTTTGAATTGATCTGCTTAACTTCAGTCTTACCATTTCACTCGGTGCATCGCCTCTGAATTGTAAGCGCATATATGGAGGGTTTAAATTTACAGTTAGGCATTTTCTATGCTGTCGTCTATTGGTTATGTTTTCTATTAATAAATTTCTCAAGATAGTCATTTTCCTTCAGGGTTTTGTATAATGCCTTGTTTCATTATCAGTCGTAACCGGAGAGCATATATTCTTGATTCTATGATGAAGTGTCTTAATAAGTTCCTTTTTGTGTTGGAGAGGAACGATATTAAGAAAGTTTGTATATTGATCCGTCGAGGTAATTTTCCTGTTTACGTTTCTTCTTAGCGAACCGTCTTTCCTCCTTGTAAATAGAATATCTAGTAGGCCTGTTCTACCCCTACTTCCTTTCTCCTATGTGAATTTTCGCTTATAAACTGAGTCATGTTCACAACTTCATATTAGTCAGCCCCAACATTAACGATCATATTTGATTTTGCATCACAAACAACAATTCTTGATTCATATATTACACTTTCCAAATGATGATGTACTCTGACTTAAATCTGGCCAAATTTATGGATTATTAATTTGGATATGAGATAATTGCAGAACCCGATGAGAAATTATTGAAAGGAATATTCTTCATTCATACAATTGTGTTGTAATATAATGGGAATTTTTCAATGACATTAAATCCAATGAAGTTTTTGTCACTACTAACACTTCAATACCTCTCATCAGCACACTATAACTCAGTCATATTAGTAAGTGGCTAGTGGTAAAATCAAAACCATTAACTCAAACTCAATAAACTGCTCTACCGACACAACAATAGATTGTTCTCTGTGACAAGACAGTTCTGCATTGTTCTCAGTCTTATTCTCATTCACAACAACATCACAGTCTAATCACTTTCACTACGCTTCACATTTCAATTATCCATGTAGATTTATTGGATGAATGATAAACATTTCATTGTAATTCTCTATTCACTTTTTCTCATCATTTCATCAAAGGGATGTGTATCAGCGATAATTGAATATACACAAACTTATCTAAATATCATCATGTATCTATGTTTCACATTCGGGATTATTCAAGCGGTCTACTTGATATTGTCGTTTCTGAGAATACGTAAATTTGAAGGTGACGATTTTCTATCTGCATAATTGTCTTATTGAGAACAAATGTTGAGAAGATATTCAATGGAACCGAATGTCAATCAAACAACCGAATCATTGACTATTCATTACTCATTCTATTGTCATTTGATCTTACTTATTTGTACACCATTATACACTATTCTTATCAATTGAATAATGAATTTCTTCATTATTTTCTTTGTTTAAATCAACTTGTTACTGGGAGGTGTTTCGAAAGAAAACAAACAAAAATGAGAAACGTTTATTCTCTTTAACACAATCGATAGGATATTTCAACTAGAGTATATCAGTCAATCAGATTCGAAGTGTTCATACAACGAACACAAGGTACTTGATCGAAAGTAGATTATTATTATTATTATTATTATTATTATTATTATTATTATTATCATGAGATATTGATTGGATTTCAAGATACATGGTTGTCATCTCTTCAGAGTGTTTATTGTGAAGGTGTAATAGCAACCGTAGATCGATCTAGTTGTGGTTATTGAGAGTTGCATTGTGACTGAATGATGGAAAGTCATTGGTTGACTATAACAATGAGAGCATTGTGGATTGATTGAGCTTTAGAAGTAAAACGATAGGCTTATTTTTCTTTGAAATCCTACTCGTGACATTTTGTCACAATATCTGTTGAGCATAGTTGGAGATGTGAAAACCACACTACGATATAACATACACTATTGATATAACATGACTTAGACTACACACATTTTATTTGTTAATGCAAATACATTGAGAACTTACGTTGTATTGATGTACCAACTATGTTCACACATCGTTCCACTTGTTCAACATGTATGAAGTCATCGTTCATGGTTGGTGGTTTCTTATCATTGATATTCGATACTGTAATCTATTTAACATCATTCACAAATTACACCACGGATGACCAACCGTACTAAGGACACTGGAATTAATGGTGCTTTAAGTGTACTCAGCTTTGTATGACAACTGGATATCAGACAGATAATATTCCGAATGGTAATTTAAATTTCCGACCAATACCGTCTAATGATTACAAATTAAAATCAGAGGTATGTACATTGTAGAAGATGCTTAAGATGTGTGGATTTGAAAATAGAAATACTTATCGAACATAGAACCATAAACTAAATGTGATTACTAATTTTCGCTTGAGTCGACCGGTGTTTTGCTTCAGTCCGAATTATTTGAGTGGAGATTCAATAACCGTCTGATTTACTAAAAATATCTTAAATTGTTGAGAAGTATGAACTCAACAACACTTCAATCATCTGAACCCTGTAGGTTGATATATTAGTTCAACAAGATTAAGCTGCGTGATGGATATCATTTTAATTTTATCTTGATAAACATATTTCAGATTGAAAACTGAACTAAAAGAACTTATTATTTAACCACATAAGTTACTTACTTACTAACGCCCGTTACTCCTCGTGGAGGAGCATAGGCCGCCCGTTAGCATTCTCCGTCCAACTCTGTCCTGATCAATCCTTTCCATTTATTTCTGTTGTTATTCATTTTCTAATGTCTGCTTCCTATTCTCGGTACAATTTGTCCTTCGGCCTTCATCTATTCCGCTTCCCTTCGGCATTTCGAGTTGGGACCTGCCTCGTGATGCGATATGGTGATTTTCTCAAAGTGTGTTCTATCCACTTCCAACGTCTTTTTCTCATTTCGCATTCAGATGGAAGCTGGTTTGTCCTCTCCCACAGAATGTTGTTGCTGTTGGTATCCGGCCAATGGATGTTGAATATCTATTCATAACTATTCATAAATACATGTACCTTCTTCATGGTGGTTATAGTTATTCTCCACGTTTCAGCTCCGTACAATAGAACTGTCATGACGTTAGTAGTGAAGATTCTGACGTTGATATTATTTGAAAATTGTTTTGAGTTCCACATGCTTTTCAATTGTAGGAATGGGGCTCTTGCTTTTCTATGGATGTTGATGTATAGTGACGAGTTCAATTCAGGTAATTGTTCGACGATGAGCCGTAGTGACCTAATTTAGTCTGTACACGATCGATCCATACAAAGACAGATATTTGAAGATAAGAAACCACCAACCGATTAATTGTTGTATCATCAATATTGAAATACTATTGTACAAACTGATATAATTGGTGTGTCTATTTCAAATACATATCCAACTAACATTGAAAAACGTGATTTCGTCAAGGAATCGGTTTCCCATTTCGACAATCGTAGTTCATATTCTCAACTGACTTCCCTAAATAATAATTGAAAATCAAGAAATATTGTTTGTCCGTTTCGGCCTAGTATGACATGCATGAACATTTCTCTCCCATGATCTCACCGAGGATCAACTCCGAAAACGTCAGATAAGTAGAACGGAGCTGGACATTTCCATCACAAAATCGGTTCTCAGTTTTCTAAATTACTTCACTTGTTCTGTTACAATAAATGAAAATACGTAGAGAGAAGGAAATTGACTGAGTCCAGTTCGTTTATCATCAAAAGAATCATACTTACCATTTCACATAGATTATCTGATTCCGATAGCTTCTACATCAACATTCAATTCATATTGTTTAGGACAGTCTCGATACTAATACCGAAATACCAATTATTACAGTTTAGTTTAGAAGGTATCATATGACGAGAGTAATTTCAGAGTTAGCTGTCAAAAAAGATAGTGTAACTGAAAACAAGTGAGTGGAAAGGAGAGACTTGAAAGGGAAAACAGATTTCAAAATTTCTTTACATTCACATTGATGGAGGAAATCATATGATAGTAATTTATATATTGTGAAAATAATAATTACAGAATTCACGCCAGTTTACAGGCATGATCAATTTGATATAAATAGTAACATGGATGTAAACACTAGATTATTAAGTAGTTTGAAGAAAAAGATTATAAGATTTAGTTTGAGTCTCCTCTTCCATAACGGCTCTAGCCCAAGTTTATTACATCTAGAATTATAAGTCAAGGCATAATCAGCTGCAAGAGTACGAAGTGTAAATCGTCTCTCTACTGATTCCAGCCTTAATTTATCCTATATCCGTGCACTGCTAAAAATAAACATACAATATTCTAGAGGTGGTCGAACACAAACTTTGTATATTAAAATACGTGACTCATTTTTATGAAGGCTTCGAGTTGTGCAACCTAATAGACGTTGAGACTTAGAGGTCTGTTTTAATATCTGTTCTGTAGACGACAAGTCTTGGGAGTATCTAAGTCCTAAGTCTACTACTGTATGTAACAGAGATAACACTTCCCCATTTATGGTAATGTTTAGGTTGACTGATGTGTCGCCGAAGCAAACACATCCACATTTAGCCGAATTAAGCTTCAGTTGCCATTTTAAGCATCACTGTGCTACCTTGTTAAGCTCCATGCTGATGCAATTTTGCATATTTTTCAGCTCACGTGGAGAAAATGAATATACTACTTTAAGATCATCTGCATATATATGTGGCTTACCCACACAAAAGCATTTACAAATATCATTGATAAACACTAAAAAGAGCAAAAGGCCTAAGACACTACTTTGTATTACACCATTTCTAACAGGGATAACGTTAGACAATGAGGAGTTAATTTTACCTATTTGATATCGATTGCTGAGAAAGGAATCAAACCTAGATAGCAAAGGATTTTTAACGACATAAGATGCGAGTTCACCTAAAAGAAATTGGCGGCTAACCATGTCGAAGGCTTTAGAAATGTCCAGATATACCATTAAGACTAGATTGCATTGGCTTCGTAGAGAATAGACTAAATTAAAGAAGTCAAAACGGCATGTCATGCAAGATCGATTTTTAGGAAATCCATGTTGATTATCATTGATCAATTTTCCAGCGAGTAAATAGTTGGAAAGTTCAACACTTATAATGTTTTCCACAATCCTAGAGATAAGTGGAGTAATATTTATCGGCCGATAATTGTTTATGTCAGTCTTATCTCCAGATTTGTAACGTGGTAAGATGCACGAGGTTTTCCAACAATAAGAGTAAGAACCAGTTTCCATAGAGAGAGTAGATAACTTAAGAAGAAGAAGAAGTGGAATATCTGGGCCACCATATTTGTAGAGAAAGGATGAAATCTCGTCTGCTCCATGACCTCTTGAAAGCTTAAGGGAATTTATAGCCTTATTAGTTTTCATGCATGTGAAGGAGATAGATTTTATTGAGTTGCTAGTCACGCAATTATGATTCCTACACCATTCGCTAACATACTACTGATAAAGTCTGCTATAGTTTTAGAGTCGTATATAAAAGTGCTGTTATGCTGGGTTCATGGTATATCAACATTTGAGTTGCTTTAGAGCGTTTATTGAAAAGGAGAGTTAAGTTTTGTACCTTTGAGTTAGTATTAAGTGTTAACAGCTTCTCAATAATGGCTTTGAACCTATGTTTCTTTTTAATTCGATTAAAAATTATTGTTATTTGTGCTACTGCCGTGAAGTCGTTTGACTTAAAATAAAGTTTCTGTAGGTGTCTTAAATTATTACGATATTTACCTGGTATATATAATTTGTGAGGTTTACTAAACCTGTACGTTTTAAGAGGTACATAGGAATCTAAACAAGAGTTAACGATCAGATGGAATTCGTCGATAGTATCCATGAGACTATTACACGAAAAAAAGTTATCCCATTCTGAGAGTTTAATCAGTGAATGCAGGAGGTCTCAGTCAGCATGCTTATAGTCTCGATATTGGGAGGTTTTATGAATGGGTTGATTATAAGAAGGATAGATAGGGAGAGCACAAACTGCTCTCTTATATTCACTGATTTTAAATTCACTGTATAGTTTTACAGATAGTGGGATGACATCTCTACTAAATATTATATCGAGTATACTATCACCTCTAGTTGGGGTACGAACCCACTGTGACCAGCAGTGCATGTTAATGGTTGCCGAGAACTCATCATTACATGACTGACAACAACCAGTACTTCAGTTAATTCCAGGACAATTGAAATCCTTAGTGATAAGCCTCACATGAATGTTTAGAGCAGATACATGTATGAATGCATTGATAATAAGATCATTCCCATTATTCTAACTATCAGAAGCTCCGCATACACATCCATACTGATTCTGGTAAATTATTCAGGACACTATCTTCAACTTTATTAGTTGTTAGGTTATCCGAAGCATATATAATACAACCGCCTCCTCACTTAATCGCTCTGTCACAGCTATAAAGTCGATAGTTCTGGATATTTAATTCTGAATCAGATACCACTT